CTATTTCTCCAAAACATTTTACCCACCTCCAGGAATCATAAACATGTGCCAACATGCACAAGTGTGCATGCATGCAATTTATCCATCCTATTACTGCTAAACGTTCTATATTGAAACATTCTAAAATAGAGCATAATTTGCTTTTTCAGTCTCAACAAACTATAATTATTGGCCTCTACATTTAATTATGTCACTTCAGGTCACGTTTTTATCCTCATGAATTCATAGGGGCTTTTGCCTCCTTGAGTGAGCAAATAGTAGATCTTTTGTTCCCAGATAGTTTATATTCTTTTAAGATTTATATTTTTGTTTATTTTTACTTAGCAGTGATAAATTAGTTCTCTTTCTCCTTTTTCTTTAAGGCAATCTAGGGAGATGAAAGTTTGATAGCCAGAATCTGAGAACTAAATGTACTTTTTAAATAGACTCAGCATTAATACATTGTGGTGGGATGCAAAAAAGTCCCTTTTTATCCTTATCCAGTGAAGCAAATATTATTGGGTGAGTTATTTCAATAAAAGAAACTTATCTCTAAAAATTTAGCCTTAACTGTGTCCTAAATTCCTCAAGATTCTTTTATTAGTAATTTCTAACATTTGTTAGGCAAAATTGTCTTTTATGATCTCCCAAAGCCATTTCTGAGATGCGACATCAGTATATTGCCAATGAGATACTTTCTCAATAATAGCTTTTCAATTTCTCTAAAAAGTCTAATTTCTGCTCCAATTTCACATGCCCTTCAACAAATGAATCTGCCTCAGCTCTAGTATTTCTTTCTGCTCATTAGTGCCGTATATAAGCTTGTTCTTATGAACTCACAGCTGTCACATATTATAAGTTTATCTTTTGTGGCAGGTATTAGCATTTGGAAGGTTATCTGTGGGTCACTGGTGTGATAATGGTGAACACATCAGAAATTGGGGATAAATCTGAAGTGGTAGATGCTGTGGAAACATTGGATCTTGAGATCAGAAAGGTTCAGTGGGATGTAGAATAGCCAGCCCTGAGTCTCTCAGATCAAGAAAAAGTTCCCATGTGCACGTGTGCGCGCGCGCACACACACACACACCACACACACACACACATCTTTAAAAACCAAAGGATTTTTAAAAATGTTTTATTTATTTATGAGACACACACAGAGAGAGAGAGAGAGAGAGAGAGAGAGAGAGAGGCAGAGGGAGATGCAGGCTCCATGGCTCCATGCAGGGAGGCCGAAGTGGAACTCAATCCCGGGTCTCCAGGATCACGCCCTGGGCTGAAGGCGGCGCTAAACCGCTGAGCCACCCGGACTGCCCAAAAACCAAAGGATTTTTGAAGTGCAATTGGAAGAAGAGGTGGAAGTAGAAAAATAAAGACATGTTTTCCTCAGAAGATAATATTGGTGCAAAAATAGTCACAGGTCCCATCAGAAATTTGGAAGAAAACAGGCTCCAGAGTTTAAGAGGACTCCCTGGAACTGACTATCTCCCTGGTGCAGAAACTCTGACCTTTGTCTTGGCCCTTTTGCTGTGCCTTGGCCCCTTTGCTATACCTCAGAAATAGCCCTTGAAATTCAAGAGAGACATGAGGATGGTTCAGTTGATTAAGTGGTCAACTCTTGATTTCAGCTCAGGTCATGATCTCAGGGTTGTGAGATTAGGCCCAGATGGGGTGGAGCCTGATTTAGATTGTCTTCTCTCCCAAGAGGGAACCCTTTTACACTGCTGTCAGGAATGCAAGCTGGTACAGCCTCTTTGGAAAACAGTATGGAGGTTCCTCAAAAAGTTGAAAATAGAGCTATCCTACAACCCAGCAATTGTACTATTCGGGATTTACCCCAAAGATACAAATGTAGTGATCCAAAGGGACACCTGCACCCTAATGTTTATAGCAGCCATGTCCACAATATCCAAACTGTGGAAAGAGCCCAGATGACCATCACCAGATGAATGGATAAAGAAGACATATATAATGGAATACTACTCACCCATCAAAAATGAAATCTTGCCATTTGCAACAATGTGGATAGACCTAGAGGGTATTATGCTAAGCGAAATAAGTCAATCAGAGAAAGACAATTTTATGATCTCACTCATGTGGAATTTAAGAAACAAAATCAAAGGGGAAAGGAGGGAAAAATAAAGATGGAATCAGAAATGGAGACAAACCATAAGAGACTCTTAAAACTGAGGGTGCTAGAGGGGAAGAGGGTAGAAGGATGGAATAACTGGGTGGTGGACATTAAGGAGGGCATATGATGTAATGAGCATTAGATATTATATAAGATTGTTGAATCACTGAACTCTACCTCTGAAACTAATATACTATATGTTAATTAATTGAATTTAAATAATAAAAAAAGATTCTCTGCCTCTGTCCCCCCCCAAAGAACTTCAAGAAAGTGTGACAGTTTTTGACATTAGATGGATTCTCAGCTCTGATTGGTAAAATAGACAAATCGTTCAGTCCAGCACATTACCCTAAGAATCACTGGTTTGTGACAGAGCCATCACAGGATGAGGTACCTTATGTGTGTGCCTGAGGGGCATGTGGATGGTGATTACATCTGGGAGTTGTCCACATATAGTTTTAAAGGAAGCCTTGGGTATGAAAATAATTGTCCAAGGAGAGAGTGAAGAGTGAGAAGAAAAACATCATTTAACATGTGGATGAAGGAAAAAAGCACCATTATGTAGGAAATGAGAGGATGGAAGGGACTACCCCTTCTAATATTTCAACTGCCTCCCCCCATCCATTCCTGACTTCCTTTATTCTAACTGAAGTTTTCTATTTCCTATGGCATTTATCACTTATTAAAATACTATGTAATTTACTTTTTAATAGTTGTGTTGTGCTGTGGTTTATATCTTCCCTGAACCCTGTTTATTACTGGAAGATAAGCTCCACAAGGGAAAGGGCCTTTGTTGATATATTCTAAGCAAGTAGAACAGTGCCTGGTACTTTGGAGGTACTTTGTAACTATTGAATAAATGAAATAATGTCTCAACAGTAAGTTTCAGTAAACAGTGTCAAAAATTGCGGGGAAGTCACCTAAAATAAGTGAGGCAATTAGTAATCCACCAATGCTCTAAGGTGGAGCCCTGCCAATGGCAAGATAGGAATAGATGCTGGACTAGAGTTGGGTTGAATGATGGATGGTGGGTGAGGAAGTGGAGAGGGCCAACAGGAATTATTCTTTGAAAAGACTTTGCTTGTGAATGAAGAAAAAGATGGTATCTAAAGAAGGACTTGGGATCAAGGAAGGATTTTACATGATTTGTTGTTGTTTTTAAAGGATGAGACTCACAGGGCAATGGCAGAACATGAACTGTTCCCTGGAACTGGTGATGGGATCAGCTTTCTGTTAGGGGAAGGTCACTTTAGTGGTTGTGGAGAATGTGGCCTAGAGCAGGAGAAACTAGGGTTAAGGATCCAGTCAGCCCACTGCTTTCAGAGAGTATGGGAGTGTTGTTATCCCTGACCATGCCCTGGGTCTCTTCACTAGCTGTCATGGACCACCATTCCTTCCCCTCTGCCATGCTCTTCTATTTCAATCCCCTGGAATGCCTTCTGAGATTAGCAGTCTCCTCTTAGTTTCTTCTCTGAAACATTAACTCCTGGCTTTAGGTGAAGACTGCTTGTTCTCTGAAGGTCCTGTGATGGTGTTTGGAGGTGGGCCTTTGTGAAGTAATCAGGTTTAAATGAGATCAGAAAGATGGGGTGCTCATGATGGGATTGGTGCTCTTATAAGATCAATCACCTTCCAGTGCAATCCTCCCTCTACCTCATAGTCATGTGAGGCAGCAGGAAGGTGGCCAACTGCAGGCCAGGAAGAGGGCCCTGATGAGGGACAAAATTGGCTAGGACCTTGATCTTAGATTTCTCAGCTTTCTGAATTGTGCAAAACAAATTCCTGTTTATTCTTACTTACAAATTCCATCTGTGTTCTTTTGTTATGGCACCTGAAGCTGACTAATACACTATTTTATTTATCTTGCCACTCAAATTGTTCCACATTTGGTCATTGGGAGCTCTTTAGGTTGTCTTCTGTGTCCCTTTGACATAACCTCATCATTTTTTTTTTCCTTTTGAACACTTAACTTTCTGGTACTACATGGCACTACAAGATGCTCCATTTAGATATATCCTGCCTCCAGTCCTAGAATCAGGCATTTCTCCAAGGAGTCCTGATTCCTTTTGTTGGCAGAATAGCATTAAAAACCAAGATCTGGGGGCACCTGGGTGGCTCAACTGGCTAAGCATATAACTCTTGATTTTGGCTCAAGTCATGATTTCAGAATCATGAGAACAAGCCATGTGTTGCCTGGCTCTGCACTAGCATGGAGCCTGCTTAAGATTCTCTCTCTCCCTCCCTCTGCCTTTCCCTCTCAACACCTATGTGCTCTTTCTCTCTCAAGAAAGAAAATAAAGAAAAAGAAAGAAAGAAAGAAAGAAAGAAAGAAAGAAAGAAAGAAAGAAAAGAAAGAAAGGAAAGAAGAAAGAAAGAAGAAAGAAAGAAAGAAAGAAGAAAGGAAGGAAGAAAGAAAAAGGAAGGAGGAAGGAAGGAAGGAAGGAAGGAAGGAAGGAAAAAATAGAAAGAAAGAAGGAATGAACTAACCAACCAAGATCTGGTGTTAAGAGTGCTCATTGCTAATGGGATGTTGTTATTTCTAGGCCTTTCAGCTAGATATATGCGTATACTAACCTGTGTACCTACATGTATCTATAACGATTTCTATATGCAACCATAGGTATCAATTATAAGCTAAACATGAGTGTTGTCTAGACCCAACTCTATTTCAATACCCTGTGATACAGTATACTTAACCTACTTCTTTCCTTGCTTATCTATAGAATCCCTCTCCAACAGTGAGAAGTCTGGTTTTTGCCATCTGCTAATTCCAGGATGCATAAATAGCAGTATCAGAATTGTTACTCTTTACCCCATAGGAAACAACTTTATTGACTAGAGGATAATCCTAATGTATAGTACCTTTTGCCTGCCATCTTACTGTTTCCAAAATATGGAACGCTTCACAAATTCACATGTCATCTTTGTGTACATGTCAGGCTAATCTTCACTGTATCATTCTAATTTTAGTACATGTGCTGACAAAGTGAGTCCAATAATCAAACTTTTAACAAACGTGATACAACTAGTGCAGGAAAGAAGAATATACTTACCGTCCACACAAAACCTTTTAATACCTGTCATCTAATTTCATTTACTTTGGTCTGTTTCTTTCTCTTTCTTTCTTTCTTTCTTTCTTTCTTTCTTTCTTTCTTTCTTTTTTTCTTTCTTTCTTTCTTTTTTTTATTTTTTAAAGATTTCTTATCTATTTATTCATGAGAGACAGAGAGAGGCAGAGACACAGGCAGAGGGAGAAGCAGGCTCCATGCAGGGAGCCCGACGTGGGACTCGATCCCGGGTCTCCAGGATCACGCCCTGGGCTGAAGGCGGTGCTAAACTGCTGAGCCACCAGGGCTGCCCTACTTTGGTCTGTTTAAAGGAAAAAAGTCCCCCCTCCAAACTTATATAAATCATCATATTATTGAAATACTTAAGAGTTATCAAAATATTCATATTTTAAAATGTTTTGAAAGACATTGAGGTCCACTGTTTTTCTTGTTTACCTCACTTAGTAAATAAGAATCCTTGGAAATTAGAAACTTAATTGTTTATATATCAGGGAAGGGCTAGTGGCACAATTTTAAAATCTAAACAAAAACTTTATCTTTTTAAAATTAGATTAAGCATTCTTCCAACCTCATCTTTCTTCTACCTTATTTTCACTATTTGAGAATTTATGACTTTTTAAAACAGAGGTCATGGTTAGCATCCAGCCGCATCCCAAAAGCTGCCGATTATGGGTTATGTTTATTAAAATATTTATAATAGGGATCCCTGGGTGGCGCAGCGGTTTGGCGCCTGCCTTTGGCCCAGGGCGCGATCCTGGAGACCCGGGATCGAATCCCACATCGGGCTCCCGGTGCATGGAGCCTGCTTCTCCCTCTGCCCGTGTCTCTGCCTCTCTCTCTTTCTCTGTGACTATCATAAAATAAAATTAAAAAAATGTAAAATATTTATAATAAAATACACATTGTTCCTTGCCATCCACCTAACTCTTTACTACCCCTGGCTTTGCTTAAAGTTTTTTTCCAGCTATGTTGAGGTACTAATAACAATTAAAAATTGTATATATTTAAGGTGTACAATGTGATGTTTCAGGGTACTTACATATTGTGAAATAATTACCACAATCAAGCTAATTAACATATCCATCACCTCATATAATTACCTCTTACTGTTTGTGATGAGAATGCTTGTGATCTACTTTAAGCAAATTTCAAGTATATAATACATTAATATTAACTATAGTCACCATGTTATATATTATATTAGCAATAATAAAAATACTTTTTTATTGATGTATAATTGACAATGGCTGTAATTTTTGCACACTTAATTATAAATATTTAAATCTTTGCCAGAAGAGACCCTATTGTTGTTTAGTATCACTTAAGTTTTGTTTTATCACTAAAAGATTTTAGATGACTGGATCACATAGGGATAGCCATTTTTAAATTTTTTTTTTTTTATTTATTTACGATAGTCATACAGAGAGAGAGAGAGAGAGGCAGAGACACAGGCAGAGGGAGAAGCAGGCTCCATGCACCGGGAGCCTGACGTGGGATTCGATCCCGGGTCTCCAGGATCGCGCCCTGGGCCAAAGGCAGGCGCCAAACCGCTGCGCCACCCAGGGATCCCGGGATAGCCATTTTTAAAATACAGAATAATGTTTTTGTTTGGAAAAGAAATTCATTTTAAATTGTATGTGTATGCATTTAACTCCTGTCATTGCTAGCTATAAATCTCTGTATTTTTCTAAATGTGGTTGGGCTCACTTTAAGTGGAGAAATTGGAAAGGACAACAAATTATTTTGCAATGGTTTTCTAAATAATAACCACCAAAAAAACTTATACAATATTTGTAAATTGTGATTGAATTAGTGACTTTAGCCATATTTCCCTTTTGAAGGTGAAAAAAGCATGAATAGGATTTCTCATAGACTATGCATTAGTTTTCTCAGTTTTCTAAGCCTGCCATAACCAAAATACCTCATTTTTGGGTGGCTTAAATTTATTTTCTCACAGTTCTGAAGTCTGGAAGTCCAAGATCAAAGCGTTGGCCACTTTAGTTTCCTTTGAGGCCTGTCTCCTTTGGCTTACAGATGCCAGGATTCATTCCACCCTTTTGTTGCTGCTTCACAGAGTTGTTCTTCTGTCCATGCATGTTCGTGATGTCTCTTCCTCTTCTTATAAGGACACCAGTTGGGTTAGGGTCTATCCTAGGGGCATCATCTTAACTTAGTCATCTCATTCAGAACTTACTTTAAAATATGGTCACAGTCTGAAGTAGTAGGATTGGGACTTCATATGAATTATGGGCAGAACATTTTGTTGTGGCTTCTAGAAATCACAAGTGTCCTGTGCTCTGTTTGTAATTGCTTTTGGTTGTAATTATGAAATTCTTACCTTAGAGGATATTTGAAGTTTATCTCAGAAGCAAAGTAATAACTGGCAACTCTGTTGTTTATCTTTAATTTGCCTTTCTTACTCTTTTTCAGAGAAGCAATTCTTGGGCTTTTTTTAGGAGTTCATGTACAGCTTTGAGAATAACTTTGACAAACTGCCTCAAAACTTAGTGGCTTAATTCAATAAACCTTTTTTTTTTTTTAAATCAATACACTATGTGTTGGCAAATTGAGCCGGTCCCAGTGAGGATTACTGATCAGAATACTGGCTGGGCTCAGTATGCATTGTGGTCACCTGGTTTCCAAAGGCTTCACTCACAGATCTGATGGTTGACTATCTCTACGTAATAGCGCTGGAGGTAATTGGGCCAGATTTTGTCATCATCCAGCAGGCAGACCTGGGTTCAGTCATCTGGTTGTGTTCATAGAATTTTCAAGAGCAGGAAGGAAGAGAAAGCCCCAAAGACTATGCTTTCTAAATATCTCTTTGTGTCACTTTTGCTGGCATCCTCTTGGCCAGAGCAAGTCAGATCAAGTCCAGATTCAAGGGGTAGAGAAATAGACTCCATCCCTTGATGTGAGCTGCAAAGCCACAGTGCAAAGGGTAATGCCTATGGGAATAAGAGGAGTTTTTGGTCTCCAGTGAGAAGAAGGAGGGGATGAAATGATGAGAACAACAATCAACTGAGTAAACTCTTGCCTTACAGGTGTTTTGCCTTAGGTTGAGTAATTATTTTCTGAGAAGAAGTTAAAGCTCTCTTCCAAAGACATATAGATACTGGCTGTTGAGAGTGAAAGTATACCAGGAACAGGAAATGGAAGAATGGTCTGAGGGGAAATGGGTAGAACATTCATAGCATCTTCTTCATGAGCTTTTGGAAATATGAAACAAATCCTCTGAGTTCTCCATAGATTATACTTGAGAAACTTGCCCATGGGGAACAAAGGACATTTTTTTTTTTTCTGTTGAGGGTATTACATCTTGTTAAGGCATTTTTTAAATGTGAACAGTTGACCAGGTAACAACAGGAGAAGTTCTATGCAGTTAGAACCAGCAGAGTTCATTCATTTCCATATTATTGAACTCAAAAATACCAAATATGAAAATGCTGAGAGACCTAGAAATCATACTTTCCTCTGCAAGCACATAATGTAAACCCAAAACGAGGAATTAAATTCTTCATAATCTCACAAAATAGAACTCCTTGATTATTCTTAATAGTCAACATTGATTTATATTGTTCTAGTATCAATTTATGAGTTTCTTTATACCCTAATCCACCATCAAAGTTAACTCTTAATCTCTACTTTTTTTATGTAGAGGGATGAGCATAGTCTTAAATGCATATCATAGTACTGTGTTGCTAACTACATAATTTAGGATGTGTGGGTATTAAGTACTTTCAACTCTTTGAGGAGTTTCATTCTGCAAATATGATAGAGGGACTTCTATTACTCCAAAATATCCAGGGGAAGTGCGCTTCCCTCCACATTAAAAAAATGTCAAACTCATAAACTCTCACAGCTTAACTTTTTTAAAGACTGACAGCATCTATGTCCAGATTTGAAGTGCAATTTCAGAAGATATGAACATGATGGATATCGTCATTTTCTGCAACATATTTAAATATGATCTTTTTCCTACTTTATAGCCTAGAGTTGAGTGGCAAAGGGAGGGGGCTTTATCAGTCAGTTTCCCATAATAATGCTGCATAATAAATCACAAAACTTTCAGTGGAGTTCAACAATAAGCATTTATTGTCAGACTCACAGGTCTGTGTTTTCTGGGCAAGTTCTCCTTCAGGCTGTAGGTTTATGCAATGTTTGGGTTAGAGCTGCTCCATGTATCTTATGCTGGACCTAGGCTGGCGGGACAGCAGCCACTGCGATGTGTTCTTTTTTTGGTAATGGACAGCATCTCCTAGAAGGACAAATGAAAGCACTCAGTATTTGTTAAGACAAATGCTCTGGTCTGATTCACTGTTATTTCCATTTCACATTGGCCAAAGCAACACAAAACAAAATCAAGTCAGGGGTGGGTAACAAATACTGCCCCCCCAAGAGACCATTGTAAGAATGAGTTCTGCAAAATCTCCAGAACAGTAGAGAACTGAGGCCAACAGTTCCATCTACCGTAGACAGGTGATTGTCTCTGGAAATAAAAACTTTCTTGGATACTTAATAGGCAATATTTATATGGCTCATTGATGCTTAGTGCTTAAAATGGAATTGTTTGTGCTTCTGAGTCTGGGAGAATTCAAAGATACTTTTTAATATGTTTATCTGAATTAGTGATAAAGAGTTTCAATTCTTTTTTTCTCATATCTCCAACTATTGCTTGAAAATTGGACTCTTTTTCTGTGCTGATTTATTCTCCCTTTTTCAGTATCTATTAACATCCTTATTTTAATTCAGCCCTGAGGTACTGAAGAGTGAACCGTACGGGGAGAAAGCGGATGTCTGGGCAGCAGGCTGCATTCTTTATCAGATGGCAACTCTGAATCCTCCCTTCTACAGCACCAACATGCTCTCCCTGGCTACAAAAGTAAGCAGTGTTGGGAGACAAAGGGTCCTGTGTTGCTAAAAATG